TCAGTGTGCGGGTGGGTGACCACTTGGATCAGTCTGCGTAGGGACCGAGGGTGTGCGGTATTGGTCCTCGTTAAACTGTGCTACCGTAAAGTGCTCAACTTCGCGCGCAGGTCGTCGGGCTACCGAAGCGGGGGTGCCATCCCCTTCGCAGAGGATCAAAATTGTGATGGCATGTCTTCGGATCATCCTCCGTGAAGTTTCCCAGACCGTCGCCAATAGCCCATTGTGCAGTGCGACTTAAATTAACAACAGCAACATCATTACCAAAAAATGAGAAAAAACTGCTCCTCTCCCTCTCTATTATGAAATAGTGGATGACCATAAAGATTTTTTTAAAAGAAAAATCAACATTTTAAAAATTTCTTTTTAAAAAAATTACACATGTGAATGAAATGTTTCTGAAACCGTCTCTTAAGGAAAAGACTTAAATGTCATTAAATGTTATTTTTTGAAGTTTTTGATTATTAAAGTATGTCAAACAAAAGTGGGATACTAATTTACTTTGTTAAATAAAATTTTTAATGTTACGAGATGTTTCAAAAATGACTTTTAACATTATTGACAAAAAGTTCATTGTTTTTATTGGACGTGGTGTAGCGCATGATATTCGTCGCCTCTAACACATGATCTCATGAAAATGAAAGAAAAAAAAATTAGAGATAGTAATAATTTCTGTTATATCAGGAACAATGATAATTACCATATTAACAACTTGGTTACATTTAAAACGAAACATATGACTCAATGCGTTTTTTAATTTCTATTTATTTATTTATTTTAAATATTATGGCAGTTTCAGAATTGCATCAGATTTGAAAAATATTCATTAAAAGATTCGGGAATTTTTTTCCTAATTTTCATAAGATCATGTGTTTTGTGTTTTCATAACACAAATATTAAAACACAAAATTCTCTTTGCAATATTTAGTAATAATTTTAATTAAATCTTTCAAATTTAGTTTAAATCTGAAACTCTAAGCTGGAATTTAATTTTGAAATTTTATGACTGTGAAGAGCATTAACCTGATGTCGTATTCTGATACATTGATTGTATTGACTTGTTTGGAGTTTTCTCAGAAGTGTTTTTTATTTTCAATTTCTTAGTAAAAAAAAAATAAAATAAATAAATAGATAAATGAAATATTTTTTTTACTGATTTGATTAAAATTTTAACAAAATCTTTTTATCGCGTTTGAAGTTATAGTTTGTTTTAAAATTAAACTCCAAATTTATAATTGAAATACGTGCAATGGAAACTAGTGTTATACTTACGAAAAACTTTTTTTCGAGTTTAAGTGTTGTTAATTATGATGAAAGTTAACATTGTTGACAATGTAATTTTCTCGATAAATCAACTATAGATATTTTTTAGGATGCAAGCAATCACGATGGATAAAACAAATCAATTAGGTTAAAAATAGCATAAATGCTAAAGAACAAATAAAAGCAAAAGTTCTCTTAGAGCCCTAAAATATAAATTATATTTTACTTTTATATATACTATAGTGCAGGTTGGTATAATCAAATTGAAGATACAGAGAAACTCTTATGTCAAGGCACTGTAACTAATTTTATAATACATGTTTATTTATGTTTTTAAAACTATATACAAAAACATCTGAAATATATTTCATATTAACAAAATAGTTCACTGTTGCCTTCTAAGGATAAATTATTTTAAATGTATAATTTGCTTTTGTAGATCCATTTCCTAAGATTCTCCAATTAATTATTATTTGTGTAAAAATATCGATTTTTCTGTGAAGATTTTCTTATTATTTATTTTGAAACTACCATTCCTTTTTTTTTCTTAAACTATTGTATAATATCTTATTTAGTAATGTTATAAGAAATTGCACTCTTTTTTAGTCGTATAATTATAAAATAAAACTTGGTTCTTGTATACTTTATCACTTTTGAAATTGCATTTGAATAAAATAATGCTAAAGTAAATTTGATCTGATTAAAATTAAATAAAACTTTTTTTTCTGAATTTTTATAACTTTTGAAACTGCAAACTATTGAAGTAGTTTCATTAAAATCTTCATCTTATTGAAAATGAATGAAATAATAAGGTTAAAGTAAAGTGCTGTGTATGATAATGAAATATATATATAAATATTTTTTATAACTTTTGAAACTGCAAACAAATGAATAAAATGATAAGGTTAAAGTAAAGCACTTTAAATGTATTAATTGCTTTCTCAGGTCTCTTTTTTTAGATCTATCTTAATTTATTATTCGCATAAAAGTATCCATTCCTTTGTGAATAATTTCTTATATGTATTTCCAATTGAAAATTATCACCTTTTTCTGATTAAATGTTTAATTTGATGAAAGACGATTTAATAAAATCTCCTACATCTGAAAAAGTGAGGCAATTTTTTTAAAAATTGTATAAAGTGTTTCCTTAACTCATTCCTCAAATCTATTATAGTTCATTATTAGCGTAAAATAGCTTAACAATATGTATTTCAGTGTGAAGAATTTTTATTATGCATTTGGAATAAAAAAATTAATTTCTTTTTCCTAATTACGCATCTGAAATGCTGAATTTAGTGATAAAAGCAATAAGCAATTTTTGGAATGTATTGCAATAAAAATACCTTATATAAAATTTCTTTACATTTTAAATTGCAAACTTTTAAGGTAATTTTCTTAAGATCTTCATCCAAATTAAAAATTATTAAAAAAAAAGGTTAAAGTAAAACATTTTAAATGTCTAAGCTTTCTTAGAAACGTTTTCCTCAGACCTATCTTGATTAATCATAACAATATCGATTTCTTTATGAGGAATTTCTTAAATGCATTTTGTATTGAAAAATGCATAGTTCATTTAAATCTTCAATCTATTGAAAAATGAATAAAATGTTTGAATTAAATCTGAATTATATTTCAGAAAAAAAACTGTGGTGCCTTTAAAGACTTTTTAAAACTATCATTCAAATGTAATCTCATTAATTTTGAGTCAAAAAAAAAATATTTTTTTTTTTTTCAAAAAAAGGAACAAAAGGATTAATAACTTTAGATTAGACGCTGGCAAATGTGTGTTTTATCTTTAGGAATTGACACCATTATAGGTACGTTATTCAAGAACTAATATGTTGTACACATTATTTAAGAACAGAGATTGGAACTGGTTACTTAATAACTGATATATCTTAACCGATAAGTTCTAAGGAGTAGTTGGGGAATTAGAGCCAATGAGAAGGAAGAGGCGTGAACGTCATGATCAAAGGGAAACTGGTTCCCTCTGCCAGAAACGTTATCTTCTTTCCTCGGCGACTCTTCGCCAACTTGCCGTAGTTATGATAATATCCCCAGATAATTTTGCCAGTGTGTAATTATTATTTAAACAGTGAAATAATTTTTTAAAATGGAATGTGAATAAGAAGGCAGTTAATAGATGTCTGCTTATTTTTACAAAAGGGGTGCATTTTAAGGGATCAAAGGGCAAGCAAAGCAGACCACCCTTTTAAAAATGTTCAGGGAGAACACTGATAAATACACTCAATAACAAAAAAATCGACGCACCAAGAAGCAATCATCCGATTGCTTTGAAATTTTGTATGCATGAATGTTTTGAACAGATATGGCTGGAATGATGCCGACGGGGGACGTATAGTCTTTAGCGACAAATCCCGCTTCCAACTGTGTCCTGACGATCATCGAAGACGTGTTTGGAGACGCACAAGGCAGAGGGGGGATCCTGCCTTCACTATCGCACGCCACACCGGCCCTCAACAAGGCATTATGGTCTGGGGTGCCATTTCCTTTGACAGTAGGACCCATTTGGTCGTCATTAGAGGTACACTTGCACAGCGGTATGTCGACGGCATCCTAAGACCTGTTTTGCCAGCGTTCCTTTTGCAGCGCCCTGGCCTGGTTTTTGCAGCAGGGCAATGCCAGACCACATACGGCACATGTTGCTATGAACTGTTTGTAAGCTTGTCAAACTCTTCCTTGGCCTGCCAGATCATCAGATCTCTCTCCCATCGAGCATGTCTGGGATATGATGAGAAGGCGATTGCATCTGGCATGGAATGTTGATGACCTCCTTCGACAATTGGATCGAATTTGGCAGGAAATACCGCAAGAGACCATCCGAAAGCTTTATCGGTCTATGCCACGCCGTGTGGCAGCTTGTATCCAGGGTAGAAGCGGGTCAACACCTTATTGAACTTGTTACTGTACCTCTGCAATAAATTATTCAATTGTTCAGAAATTTTAATCATTTACTATTCTGTACAATGTCTTCCTATCCACCAATTTTCGTTTCAATCGGACAACTCCTTCTTGGTGCGTCAATTTTTTTGTTATAGAGTGCATATATATAAAACTTTCTCATGAAATTTATAATGGTGTATTGGTTGGGGGTCATAATATCTTAAATCTTAAGTCTATATTTTGGTGTTATGAACTATTTGTGTTTAAAAATTAATTTAAAGCATTATTATGAATCTTTTCCAGGTATATATTGCTACGTTTAGTAGTAGGTTAGTTAAATCCTTTGTCAATGACTGGTACGGTACAATAAGTGGTTAATGATACGTGAAATAATGTATCTAACACGAAATTCTATATAATGCAAAACATCATGTTTCAAGGTTTACATTATAAAGATTAACAGAAAAGATCTGTTATTTAAATAAAGTATTTTTTGACTTATAGCTAAAAATATAGCACCCCATATTAATGAGTGTTTACAGGGTTCATTCTAGACTAAAAAAAGGGCAGGGTGCTAAAAATTGAAAAGGGCACTATACTTTTAAAAAAAAGGGCAGCAAGTTTAAAAAAGGACATTGTATTTTATAAAAAGGGCAAATATCTTACNCCCCCCCCCCCCCGGAAGTTATGAAGTCAAATACTGTGAACTGATCCCCTTTTTTATGCGATTTAAAAGGTTAAGAGAAATTTGGGAATATATTAAGTGTGTTTTAAATTATTTTATAGTCTTTTGATTTAATAAACCATAAACTAAATTAAAATGCACTTTTTGCTTCTCTAATTTGCAAATAGTCAATATTGTTATTTCTAATTATTATAATTTAATTTTTGGTATTTTGCAAATCTTATTTATTAAGTTGGGCTTTATCACGCTTAAGTTCAGCCTTTCTTTCTTTTTTTTTTCATTTTTCAAAAAAGGTCTATATTTTTTAAAATTGAATCCAAGGTTCTATAGTTTTAATTTCCATAACTTAATTTGCTTTTTGGATAGTTTCCTATAAAAACATGTAGGCAGGCTCTGCCTATTATTGATGCTATATTATTTAATACCTCTGACTTTTTAAAATCTATGGTTTACTATCCTTGTAAGTTGTTATCTCTGAAGTGACTATTTTCCATTATGCCTACATAGAATTTGAAGAAAAAATTGCCATCTCGTGATATTGATACTTCAACAGATGAGCAACTAGTTGCGACCTTGGGACCTCATGGTGAAGTTGAACTAACTCTTGCTACTGACAATAAATGTGTTTCCACTGATGGTGAGATTTCTCGTACAAACCCTTTTGCTGGTATATCTTATTTACTTTTAAGTTCAAAATTGACATTTTGTTTTTTAATTAACTTAATCTTAAAACTTTTGTTATTATTATAGGATTGCAGCATGGATCCATTTCTCCATCATTACAAAATATAAATCCTGCATTTTTAGCTCAAGTACCAAACCTTGTCAAGTCTCAAAATATATATGAAAATGTCCAAATAGCTATGGAAGGAGAAAATAGTAAAGTTGTTCTGTCATCTGATTGTGGCTTGCCTAGTAATAATTGTAATTGCTTATCTGTTATGAGTCCATTTGATGAAAAAGCTGAATGGGCTGAAATAGCTGGAATTATGGCATCTTTTGGAGGCAGCATTACTAGAGAATCTATTTTTGCTCAAGATATTGAGTCTAGGTTCGCTCAAACTTTTAAATCAGGTAACCTGCTTTTAATTTATGTTTAATGTTAATGCAATTAAATTAGCCAAAACAGAATATCATAAAAGGTATTTGTCATAGAAAAACTTTTTTTTTTGCTTAATAATGACAATTCACACCAATCATACTATCTCTAATATTTTGTTAAGTGATACGTTTGGCCATATTTATAAATCTTTTATTATTGCCATATTGCAAATTGAGATTATACAGCTGAGTGAATAAAAGCTCTAAGTTACAGTTTAGGGAATTTGAATAAATAGTTTTGAAATTTATCTTTTTATCAATTGAAAGAAAATGTGCGATATCTATGTTGCTTGTTCTCAATTTCGCAATTGGTAAAATCTATAAATCCTTAACACTCATATAAATTGTTCCTTTTCTAGCTTTTGCACCTTTGTTATTTCAATTTGCTGTCAAAAAAGAGGCTTTTTATGGTTACTTTGTCATCTGATATTTGTCAAACACTTAAAACTTTTTCTACTAAGCTAACACTCAAATATTGCCAGTTAATATATTCATCCACTTTGGTCTGTGTTTAATGTAAAGACTTGGTCACATAAAATAAGGTTGTTCTCTAATTAAATAAGATAAAATATAATTTTCAAACTAAGAAATCTTAACCAAACTCTTCCTTTTTAAATTGAATTATTGATTGATGAATAACATTCTTTTTACCTAAATATGCTAAACCGGTGTCTCAATTTGTATTTACACGATTTGCAAATCCTGCATTTAAATTCTTAATATTGATATTTACATATAAAATATATCATTGTTAATTTTTGCATAAATTCTGAGTTCCATATAATATACAAATCATAAAGGATCTTTCAGTATATGTTACACTGTTTCTTGTCCTTTGCTTTTTGACAATGATAGAGTTAAAATATAACATAAAAGGGTTTTTCAAATGTTTCATGTGCTGGTACTGAATAAATTTTTGCTATTGATAATTTTTCTTTCCTGATACATGTGATTTCTATTAGTCCCAGATACATTTGATGCTACTTCCTGAATTTAAAAAAAATAAATAAATTGCCTAATTTCCAAAGTCAAATTGCAAAAGCTGTCCTGTAATAAAATTATTTATATTATAACAAGTTCTTTGGTGTATATGTTAGTAAGAAGTCATATTTATCTTTGTATTCAATATCAATATTTTTAAATTTAAAAAATAATTAATAGTACTTTCAATAATGTCAGATAGGGAAAATAATTGCAGGTCAGTAGATATTATTTATTTAATTTGCATATTATTATTATTATTTGAAAATAAGTTAAAAAAGTTTTTATTTATTGTTAATGCTCCAAAAATGGAACATCAATAAAATTGAACTTAAAACATTTTAGTGTCTTTCAAAACTCTTTAATAGTGTTCGTATTGAATTTCAAATTATTAAGATAATCCTTTCTTTATTCCTCCTTTAAACGGTTAAGTAAAAATCATTAGCTGTATTAATGACAATTTATAATAATGATTAAAAATATAAATTTCCTGTTACACTAGTAGATATTAAGCAAATTTGCGACTTTAAATTTAAAATTTAATATATGGCTATATAAAATTTTAACTGTCTTAGAAATTAAAAAAGTCAAATGAAACAAACTTTCTACATGCGATCTTTCAACCATCGGCAAATAGCAGAATTCTTGTTGTTAAGTTCCCAGCTTTAGTATTGTTATTTATATGTTTCATGTTCTCTTAAAAATATTTTCATTAAAATTTGGCCACTGTCCATCAAATTAGACCCATGTCCCATTAGTCACGACTTTCTTGGATGCATGTAATTCATTATTTTTGTTTTGTAAAAATTATTTGGTAGTTATTGTTTCTGCTAGTCAAATTTTCTTGATTGCATGTTTTTTTTATAAGTAATTTATTACTCGTATGTTGTAAAACAAAGGATAAATAAATTTTAAATGTTTTTTTTTTTAAATCCATAAAATTAAATTTTTAATTTAAAAAAAAATGGTTTTAAGCAAATAAGTTTTTCTTTCCTCTCTAGTTAAGATAAATTGGTATTTCTTACTGTATGTTAATATGATCGTCTATTTACTCCACTATAATTTCAAGTACATAGAAATGTTTCTTACTTCCCTTTGTTTTTTTCTAATATAACTTGCAAATATAATTTTTTTTCCTATATACTATTTATGGAGACAGGTACAGTACATAATTTTTTTCCAGCTTTAAATGTCTATTCTTTACAATTAATAATAATAATAATAACAATCTTTCAAAATATCTTACTTTTAAAATATAAAAATTTCGTGGTGTATGCTTTAAAAACATTCTACAATAGATATTTTTTTTTACTTCTAGTTGACTCTGCACAACATATTTATTCTTTTACTAGCCTTGAAGTCTGGCTTTCACACATAGGTTTACCACAGTATGAAAATCTTCTCCTTTTAAATGGATTTGATGATGTTAATTTTTTGGTGAGTTGTGTGTGAGAATAAATTTTTACTAGAGAATATTAACCTTTTGACCGCTGACATTTTCTTTTATAAATGCTGAAAGTGTGGAATGAATGCATTATTTATTTATTTTTGAGAAATATCAGACATAATTATAATTAATTAAATGAAAAGCATTTTTTTCTTAGATAAAAGTCCACATTTTTGGTTCAACAAAGAGAAGTGCAATTTTGCTGCCTCAAATGGTTAATATAATGAGTTATATGAGGTTATTCATTTTTATTGTAATTAAGTTTCATTTTAATATTTTGGTTATGTAGTGCTTGGTTGCTTAGAATATAGTTAAATCTTGATTATCTTAACTTCTTTCTTCCACAATTACTTAAAAGTACTTTTATGTGGGTTTTTTTTTTTTTTACACTTTTATTTTGTTTCCTTTCTCCTTTGCTAGTAATTAAGGATTACTATTAAGTTTTTGAAAAAAAAAGTTCTTTAGTTAAAAAAGTTAGTTTCTTTAGTATTTCTGTATAAAGGTTATTTTGTCAATATTAAAGAACAACACTTAAACAAAAATTTATAGAAGCTTCACCTAAAGCTTCTTAAAATTCAGCCATTTGGAACTGGTTTTTAAAGATCATTCATTAAAAAAAATAAACTAATGCTAGTGTGGATAACTCATTGATGGCTAGTGTGGAATAATAATAAACAAATACTCATGTTTAGTCTGTGACGAAGATTAAATGATTTATTAGTTTTGTAATAAAAGAAAAATGAAATCTTTTATTATACTCATCAACTTATAAAATAAAATTTTTAAAATCTTATATGTATATTTATTTATATATGTGTTACCAGCAAACATTATCAAAGGTTCTCCTTCAGGTTGTACTCTTAGGTATTTTTTTTTTATTTTATGTTTCATTAACCATGTAATGATTCAGTAAAGAACTTGAATATTTACCTCATATTTATTGAGTAATAAATAATTTTGAAAATATAGAATTTCAAATAATATAGTTGCAGCCAATCTTTGTCGTTTAGAAAAATTCCACTGCTACAAATGTCATAAGCATTATATCCTACAGTCAGATAGGTACTTTTCCTTACAAGAAATTAATTTATGGGGCCTTCATAATAGAAACTTTTAAGTACTTCAGAAAAATAAAAATTTATTATCAATGCTAACAAAACCTTAACCGGAAGTAAAAATCAAGTTTGATATAGAATTATGTACTTCATTGTCTTATAGATGATTTGCGAAATTCACTTATTCCCTCAAGGTTGTATGGACAATTTAACAAATAATCTAGAGTTGAGGTTGCTGCTTTTAAACTTCTTTTTGTAAACAAGATGATAATTATTTCACTTTTGAGTTATCATTAATTACAAAATATTGAATATCTTTATTCACATTATTATTAAAGTATATTTTATTTATTTTTCTTTTTGTAGGGTGGAAAGATGATAGAAGAGCAGGATTTGCTTGATATAGGTATTGTGAATGCTCTTCATCGTCAGAAACTTTGTTCTGCTGCTCAAAATTTACCTGCTGTGCAACCTATTAATTTACTAAGGGCTTCTGATGAATTTCCACAAAGTGTTGATTCTTGGTTGAAATCATTGAATTTATCTGAATATAGTGATAACTTTAGCAATAATAATATTACAGATATGGATCGAGCCTTAAAACTTTGGGAAGTAGAACTAAATACCGTGAGTAATAAATTGATAGTATACTGAAGTACAGTACAGTATGAATTTTATTTTTACTGTATTCTTTTTATTTCAGGTATTAAAAATTTCAAAGATTGGTCACCGCAAGCGTATTTTATCTTCGCTCGGAGACAAACATTTTGAAAATTTTGTTGATGCCAAAGATGTTGATTTGACAAAACTGGTAATTTTCGTGTTTCTGTAGCGCTTTAAGTATTTTACAGTGATTGCGCTTAATAAAGTTGCTAAATTATTAAATCAGCATCTTTTTGAACTATTAACGCCTAACTTGAAAATTTTGTCAAATTTTGTGAAAAAAAAGTGTTATTGACTCATTTTTATTCAAATTGTAGTTAGGGTCATTTTATAGTTTGTGATCTTATTTTGATAGTGCTGAATGTATTTTAGTTTAAAAATTGTCACTAGTGGGAAGTATTATTTTATTAAAGAAGCAATACAACTGACATTTTTTTTTATTCAGTATTAAAATTTCATTGAATTGCAGATTAAAAGTGCTTCTACTGTAGGCTAAAGAAAAGTTTTTTTTTCATACTCTTGATGCATGGCCTTGGGCTGCATTTCCCAATTTTTTCCGCTACGGAACCCTAAACAACCGAATTTCTTTCGACAGATCCCTGACTGTAACAAAAAGCTAATTAGCAAGTGTAAATATGCTAACCAAAAGAGGAAAAAAAAAATTAATTTTTAAACATTTGATGTGAAGAAAGGAATCTTTTCATTTTTTCGACAATAAGTCTTAAATTAGGTTTCATTAGCTTTTAGTCTATTGGTTTATGGCATATGCATGAATGAAATTGAAAAGAAATAGCCTAAATTATGGCTTTTGGAAAAGAACTGTTATAAAATGTGAGAATGATTATTGGAGAAAAATAATACTTGAATTTTGTTATTTCATTTTAGATCTTAAAGTGCGATGAGTAATACTGATACAATGATTTGTAACTGCATGTAATTTTAGTAATTTGTTGAATATATTGTTATTGAATAAAAATATAAGTTATATATTTTAAAATTTTCTATTTCCTTTTTTTTTGGAATTTTACTTTAATTTCATAATAATAATCTAATTACTAAATAAATGATCGTTTCTGAAATCATTACTGGTTAAAACAAAAAAGAAACGGTCCTAACTCACGGAACGCCAGTGACCTTTCCATGGAACCCTAAGGTTTCGCAGAACACCTTTTGGGAACTGCTGTTCTAGTGTCTTAGTAGTCTCAGAGTTGAAACAAACATAATACCCGTATTGTCAAATTCTTGCCACTAAACTTGGGGCAATTTGGATAGAATAATAATGTGACAACTTTGTAATATTAAAATTTATTAAATTTAAATATTACATTTACTTCAAATTTACACATTAATAAACTTTTGAAACAGATTTTTGACAGCCCTTAGTTTTAACAGCTCTTATCAATCACTCAGGTCATTAGCATTTCTAATAATAAAAATTAATAAACTGAAATAACCAGGAATTTTTTTTAAGAACTTGTGTTTTCTAATTTCACATTAACTCCTTTCAAGCATTATATTGTGTCTGAGGGGAAAGAATTGTTTTTACCTTATTTTTATTCTATTCAAATGACTTACAATGTTTTCAGACTTTAGATCTTTCTGAATTAGAAGTTGCTGACAGCGAAAAAAAAAAGTGTGCTGCCAAAGAATCATCAAAAGTAACCTTTGCGGAAAATACTGTTGACCCACTTTCTAAACCTTATTTGAGGATACGATCACCCACTCAACTTATGAATGACTCTCAAAATCAAGATAAAAGTAGTCAGCAGTTTGTGGTTGAAGCTCAATGGCGTCATCATCCTGATGAGCTTGTAATTAATAGTTGTAATTATATAGCAAAAGTAAGTTTATTTATGATTGAAGGCTGCTATTAAATTCTGTTTATTCTGGCATCAAAGAAAATTTAATATAAGTAAAATTTCTATGAGAGACCTCTATAGCAACCAAGGTTGGACATAGATTTACAAGCTCCAGGACGAAATTTGTTGTGAATCGCATCCTCAAAACACATAAAATCTAATTTTCATATTTTATAAGCTATTCCGAACAGGTTTCTCAAAACAATGTGTTAAAGTTTTTTTAAATTTAAAACTGGTTCTTTGTTGGCCTGGATAGCAGTCTACACATAGCAAACTGTTTTTAAGAAAACTGATTTTTAACCTTATTTTCAAAAGTCTTGTATTGACTAGGTAATTCTTTATGAATGACCAATAAGTTGCCACTCTTTATGAAATTTTTTCTGATTATTTTTTTAATGAAAACATTTATAATTTAAACAAAAATAAAGCCTGCTTGCAAGTGTTTCTTTCAAAATTTATTAATATTCAGCTGAATTAATATTCATAATTTATTCTATGTTATTTTATCTGATAGATTATAGAAAACAGTTACAAACGAAACTTTTAATTTTCTCCAATAAATAGGGCATTGTTTGAAATTTTATTCTTGTTTTAAAACCATAAACACATTTATTATGATAGATAATCTGAAGAAAATCAGAAGTTTTTGGAATTCTTAGCAATAAATGCCATAAGCCATTTATATTTTTAAAGATTACTTATCTGTTTAAAAATACAGTAGAGAACCAATTATCCGGGATNAATGGCGGGAAAATTGAGCAAAATTTTTCCCGGTTTTCTGGTTTCCCGGTTATCTGGATACCGGATAAATGGTTCTCTACTGTATTACCCAGTGTAGATTTTTTTAGATACATTTTTCATATTTTAATATTCTTTTTATTTTCCCTGTATTTATCAAGCTGTAACTGTTAATAAGTTAATTTTAATTGTTTGATTTTTAAATTTGTGCAGCATTATTATGTTTTGCATCAAATAAATATTAGATTTTTTTCATTATTATTAACTAAATTTTTAAACATTCTATAAATATATTTTTATACATTTACGGAGAGAGTAAATTACTCAGAATTATCCTTACATTTTGGATTAAATTTTATTTTTTGGACTTCCAGCCCTGGTAATGTGAATTGTTGGTGAAAAAATAATAAGTTCTATTTTTTGAAGTCACAAAGATATTAGTTTAATCTGCTTTTTGACTTCAAAAGTTTGAATTTAAAAGAAATAAAAATAATTAGAATTGCTGAAACATACAAAAATTGTTAAAAATATTCATTAAAGAGTAAAACAGCTATTGTAGTATACATTTTATTAGAATACATTTGACATGAAGATATTCTCTTCAGTATTTAGGTTCAAATTTGGTAAAAGAGCTGCATGGTTTAGAATCTACAAAAGCATCTATTCAGAAGCTGAAAGCGTCTACTAAGGATATAGGAAAGATTCCCAGCATTATCTTGTCTATTTCCTATACAGGCGTGAAATTTATTAATGCTGAAAATCAGGTAAATCTTTTGTTTATTTAACTAATCATGCTTCCTCATAAACACTTCACACATGATATAAAATGACTTATTTTTATGCAGCAAATTTTATTTATTTATTTATTTTTTTCGATCCTGGAGAGAGCAAGCTTCTTGCACCTTTTCTTTTTTGAGCACAAAAGAGATTCGGGGAAAACAAATCCAGATATGAATTAGTGATCACTAATTCTTTATTCCTCTTGAATGTTTCTGCTTGGGCATATTTTCCTGTATTGTGCTGATGATCTTTGTTGGTTGGAATACATTATAATTGCAAAATTTTTTACATGTTTTTCAAAAATAGAATCTTTACGTTGGTTTTGTTTTCCTGGATTTTCTATATGTGGATTCTGTTTTTGCTCATTATGTAGCGTTCCACTGAGTTTATAATTTGTTCATTGCATTAATTATTTGCATTATTAATGCATTAATTGTTATATTTATAAATCTTAAATTCTTATGTAATTGTTATTTTAAAATAAAGGTTATTAATTTTTTATTATTTCTATTTAATTTTCTACATGTAATTTTTATTGCTAATAAGCAAAGTTTAATTCCTCATTCATTTTTATTTTAAGCAATTTATGATTCATATTTATGTGATAACTCGTAATTTCAAATGTTTTACAAAGCATAATATTCGCAGTTCATATCAATCTGGTTTGGGAATTATTCATAGCAATTTTATCTTGATTTAAAGATCAGACATTGTGATTAATTTCACATCATTGGTTATAATTAAATTTGCTCTCTTCTAAACTCTACTCTGATAACAAAAAATCTTTGGATACAATATATGGACCTTGGAGAAAATTCTAAAATATAAAATAGTTCAAATTTTGACCACAAAATGAATATGGTGCACAATTTTAATTTATACATCACGATTTGTATTCAATCAATTTAAAATCATACATCAGGATTCATATTCATGCGATTTGAAATTCTTGTACAGTAAAGTATGCTTTCATAGATTTAAAATTCACTCCTCGAGATTCATATTCCCGTGAAGCTGTTAAAATATTACGAATATTATGTAAACTTTTGGCAATTTCAGACTCTCTCCGCCTGTCAGAAAAATAAGCAAATCACAAACCCTATACCATTGCTTAGGCAATAAAGTCGCAACATTCCTTTTCTTATAATTTTTAAATTAAATTCAAATAAAAGATAAGCCTTGCATAAATCAAAATTTCTGCTTCAATACATTTCCTAAGCATTTAGTAGAAAATTCTTTAGGAGTATTTTGGTTTTAAAACTCTGAACCACAGAAACTCTTCTAAAAATTTCCAAGATTTTCTTTCCCCAAATTCTAGTTTTATTTCGAATTTGAAACCCCTCACACCCCTCCTTTCTTGCCCGTTACATACTTATTTAATATTTGTAATATTAAAATTCAGGGTTCACACCGGTCAGGAAATCCTGGAAAGTCATGGGAAAAAATTCTGATTTTTTCCAGATCTGGAAAAGTGCTTGAAAAAAAAAATTGCTCTGAAAGTCATGGAAAATAGTTTTCTTTGAGACATAATTAAAAAAAAAAAATCCAGTGGCACAGTTGCACAACCAATTTGTGCCCCCCCCTTTTTTGAGCAATTCTATTTTTAGCATTTAGTAGGGCCCCAGAATGCATTGCATTTTGACAAGTGTTTGGTATTGTATTGTTTCTCTCTCTTTCTCAGTGAACCTGGGAATTCTTTTTCATTGAAGGAATTAATTATTTTTATTTTAGTGCTAGTTTTTCTTGTTCTCAAATGAAATGATGTTCTGATTGTTTTTAATTTGCATAATTTTTGAACTTATTTTTAACATTTATTTTGGAAGAGCACAGACATTTTTGATTTCCGCTTGTTTCTGGACATTTTTGATTCCCGTTTATTTCTGGACATTTTTGATTCATCATAAATTTAAGATGCCTGGCAAATGCTCCTTTAACATCAATTGGCTTAAAAAGCCATTGCATGAAAAATGGCTTTTGAGAGAGGGGTATCAGCATAAAGCACGTTGCTCATTGTGCTGCAAATCATTTGACATTTCAAATATGGGTGAAGCAGCCCTCACCAGCCATGCAAAATCAAAAAAACATATAGACCTTCTGAAATTATCAAATTCAAGTGAATTAAATTTTTCCCTAATGTGCCATCCGGATCCAATGAAGGAAAGGAAACTACTAGTGCTTCCAAAAATCATCGTGTTAATAACATTTTGCAAGTTTCAGGCAATGATGTGCTATCAGCAGAAATTTTATGGGCCTTGAAAGTTGTTAATTCGCATTTTTCCTGTAATTCCTGCAAAGATATAAATTTATTGATGCAAAAAATGTTCCTAGACAGTACAATTGCAAAAAAATTTACATGTGCTGATAAAAACTGTGCATATTTGTGTTGCTTTGGTATTGCACCATATTTTAAATCCTTACTGACACAAAATGTGAAACAACAAGATAGATTTGTATTTCTATTTGATGAAATTTTTAATCAGGGGTAGGCAACGCGGTGCCCGCGGGCGCCATGACACCCCCGATCTATTTTTAATGCGCCCTCGCTGGACTAATGTAAATGTATGATAGCCACAGCAATTTACTTACTCTTATCAAACGGCGATATACAGCAAGTAGTCAGTTGAGTTTAGGATTGTGTATAGATTAGCAGTTTGCTAACCTTGAGCGTATCTAATAACACACACATATTTTTTGTTAGTGTGTGATCGTATTTCGAATAGACCACGCGTAGTCCGTGCATTTAAAACTACCAAGTAACCCGAAATAATTCTTTTCTTTCAAAACCCTTTGTTGAAAGTGATGAACTGGACCTAAATTAAACAGTGATCTAGTTTCGACAGTGATGTACTTTCTGACGCATCGGCTAGGTTAACCGTGACTGTATTGTAACTTGTCGTTTTAGTTTCAGTTTCAGTTTGCTTTTGTGTTTGAGCTTCTGTTTGTTTATCTTTGGTATAATGCTTCTTTGCTATGCTTTCGTTCTGTTTTAAATAATAAACGTTAAGTTTAATAACGTTGTTTCTTTTCAAAATAGAGTTGTTATAGTTCTAGTTTTTTGTGTTTTAGCTCCCTTCATGGATAAATGTAAAAGAAAAAGAACATATTATTTTAACGATGAATTGGAACATCTATATTGTTTCGTTGATTACAAAGGGAAGTGTACTTGTTTGTTGTGTAATAATAGTGTTGCGATTCTCAAGAAAAGTAATATTGAATGACATTTTAAGACCGATCATACCAATTTTGATAGTGATTATCCAATGAACTCTGAAATTAGAAGAAAAAAATTATTTCTTTTTAAATCTTCAATAACTAACCAGCAAAGTTTTTTTACTGAACCAATGCAACAACATAAAGCAGCAACGATCGCGTCATATAAAATATCGCATTTGCTAGCTAAGAATAAAAAATCATTTACAGATGGAGAATTAGTGAAAGAAACCATGTTAGAAGCTGCTGATTCACTTTTTGAAGAATTTAAAAATAAAGAGGAAATAGTTTCAGCTATAAACGCGTTGCAATTATCAGCACGAACTGTTACTAGAAGAATTGAAGTAATTGCGGAGAATTTGGAGGCAGAATTAGCAAATGATATGGAAAATTGTATTTTCTTTTCACTACAGATGGATGAATCGACAGACGTGACAAATATATCACAATTAGCAATTTGCGTGAAGGTGGTATTTTCTGATTTTACAACAAAAGAAGAATTCCTTTAAGTTCTGCCATTAAAGGGAAGCACCAGATGAGAAGATATCTTTTCTACTTTTAAAAAATAGATGTAATTTATCTGAAAATAGATGTATCTTTTCTACTTTTTAAAACAGATGTAAAATTACCTGTACAAAAGTTATCGTCAATTACATCAGACTTACCAGCGATGACTGGTAAGTAAAAAGGATTTATTGCCTTATGTAGACAGGATTCCTTATTCCCGAAATGTATTTCTTATCATTGCCTCATACATTAGGAAATGTTATGCGCAAAAACAATCGGTTTTCAACACGTATTTACGATAGTAACAAAAATTATTAATTCCATAAGATCGGGAGCTATGCAACACAAATTGTTTAAATTATTATTACAAGATGAGGACGTCAGTTCACAGATCTTCTTTTACATACTGAAGTGAGGTGGCTGAGCAGAGGTAAAATACTTGAGTGGTTTATCATGCTTTTGCCACAAATAAAGGAATTTATTGCATCAAGAGGCGAATTTTACGAGCAATTAGAAAATAAGGATTGGCTAATCGATCTCGGATTTCTGACAGATATAACAGCAAAGTTGAATGAATTAAATTTAAAAATACAAGGGAAAAATCAGCATATCGCTGACATGATTAGTGCAGTAAATCCATTCAAATGCAAGTTAGTGTTGTTGAAATCCCATCTATTGAAAAAATCATTATCACATTTCCCAAATATAAAATATACTGTTGAGAGTTTAAATTTGAATAATGAAAATTCTACTGCTACATCATATTTAGAAATTATAGATAAGCTAATAGAAGAGTTTTCTTCTAGATTTGAGGATTTTGCAGCATTAGAACCCGTTCTAAGATTTTTCATAAATCCATTCAATGTTACTGAAGATGATGTCCTTGAAATAGTTTCAGTGTATTTCGAGCTTCATAATATCGAAGACCTAGAATTAGAAATAATAAACTTGCAAAGTGATATTATTTTAAAAGCGCATAGTAATGATAAAATGTTTTGGAACTTAGTCGATGAAAATAAGTATCCAATTTTAAGGAAATGTGCTCTAAAAATTTATTCATATTGTGCAACAACATACAATTGCGAGTCTTTGTTCTCAAATATGAAATATTTGAAATCAAAATACCGAACAAAGCTTAATGACTCACATTTAGATAATTGTTTAAGGACCGGGAACTCTAAATATATCCCCAATTATAAGAAATTAGCTGAAAATATGGACACCCAAGTTTCACAGTGAATTATATGTATCATTATGTATGACACCA